CGTTAGTGAGAAAACGGTTGAGTAATAAATAAAAATTAATATATTGAGTTTAATAAGAAAATTGAAAAAAAAATTAAAATAAGAGATAAAATAAAGTTTAGTTATCAAAATTTTAATTTGCCCAATTAAATTTTGATATGCTTACCTGTAAATGGTTTTTGTATTAGGAATGGATGAATACGGTATATTGTAAAGTAAGAATATCAACTTGTAGGGTGAGTAAAATTTGACTTTACTCAAAAAATCAATTTTTTGATTTGATTCGAATTGACTTCGAGTTGTAATTTTATAAATTCGATTAAACTCAAAAAAAAATCAAGTTCAAATCGACTTGTAAAATACAATTCGAAAAACTAGAAAATTTTAATAATTAGTAGATTGATTTTTAAGTTTGAGTCGAAGTACAAGTCGGGTCCCTCAACTTTGTATGATATATGTAAATCATATATGAAAAAAATATGAAAAATACATATGTATTGTATATGGGTATAAAATATCATTTAAAATTAGAATCAAATAATGTCATAATATTGTAAATATTTACAATTAAATTCAAATATAAACTCAAAAATTTGACTCGACTCGACTTAAATTTTATAAACTTGACTCGATTAGAAAAATTTAAGTCAACTCTTAATTATAAAATATGACTCATCAACTCGAATAACTCAAACTTTTTTATTCCACTTGATCGAGCTCACCCATGTAACACCTTGTTCTTTCACAAGATCTTAAATGGGGAAACTACACTAGTAGTCCTTGAATGATCAATTTGGGAACATGGAAGTCATTCCCCCCTCCCCGCTCTCAAACTTTTAGAGCAAATTATACTAAATACCATTGAAGTTAATGATTATATTGTTTTCTATTGAAGTTTAAAAGGCTTCAATTTTAATAATAAATTTGATTTTGGCTTTAACTATTGCATTGTGCCGTTAACCTATCAATAGTCAGAAGATATTCGCCCCTGTCGTATTTTCATTTCAATTTAGTCTTCAATATTGCATCATTTTATATTCTATCCTAACTTAAAACCTTAAATTATAAACCCTAGATTAAGTTTTAGGTTCATAGTTTATGGTTTAGAGGTTATAATTTTGGGTGTATGGTTTATAATTTAGGGTTTTAAGTTAGAGATATAGTATAGAACGATGCAATTGAGTAACTTTGAGTGTTAAATTGATGCAAAAATACGATAGAGACGAAAGTGATATGTTGGGTCTACTACATGGGTAAAAGTTACCATTTTACCATAATTTAATGTTAATATAGAAGTTAATAATTTTTTATTCTAACTCGTCACCTTCTTCTTCAAAATTAGATTTTTTATTTATTTATTTTAGTCGTAATCGGAAATTACCACTCTTAGACATCTTTTACTGTCATCATAGACACTAATGAACTTGTCTCATTATCTTCTACAACTTTTTCAATTTAGATTTTTCTAAATATTCTCTAAAACTCACCAAATAGCCTACAGTTGAGTTTTGAAAAGCTCCCTTGCATCGTAGGCTATGACACCAAAACTCGTGGGCTACGTTACTGTAGTTCACTTTGCAATTTCACCATTCACATAGCATGTCTGTCGCCGCCATCTATCGTAGAAGGTAGAGGCCATCAACACCCATGCACCCTACTTTTCAGACAAATGCCCTTCACTCGCGACGCATGTGGTGTCCAGGGGAACTCTCTTCCCTACTTGTGCTTGAATTGCAACCTTTTGGTCCATAAGAAATGCATTTCATTTCCACCCATCATCAAATTCTTGAGGCATGAACACCCTCTTTTTCACTCCTATTCCATTACAAGAGATGACTCTAAGTCTAAGAATTGGGCTTGCGTAGTTTGTCTTGATGAGATGAATACGAAACATGGGAGTTGCCACTTTTCAGAGTGTCATTTTATTCTCCATGTGACATGTGCTACAGAAGATGAAGAATCATACTATGTGATAGTGTCTGTTGAAAATTTTTATGAAAACAGAGTATTACCTGAAGATTCTTATATTGGCATCGAAAGAAACGAATATGAAGAAGCCACTATGATCAAGCATTTCAGTCATGAACATGACTTAATGCTAAGTGACAAGATTCTAGAGGATGGTGAGTTTTTTGATGGGTGTGCATTGTTGGTCTCGAATTCATTTTACCATTGTTCAGAATGTAATTTTCTTCTTCGCAAAAAAATGTAAGTATCTTTGGTTCCATGGCTGTGAAGAACCATTCGTCCTTGTTGCAGGCTGTGTTTTCTAATGTGACTTTTGCTCCCGCGTTTGCAATGGCTTTGCCTATAAATGCTGTGGATGTGGGGAGCGTTGTTCCATCAGATGTGCAACTCCTTACACTCTCAAGTGTGAAGGACATGAACATCCTTTGTCTTATTTATACAACCACAAAGGGTCGTGCATTGGTTGTGATGAGGAAGGAGGACATTTTATATGTAAGATTTGCCAGATTGCTTTTTGTTTTGAGTGTATTAGACTATCGACCAAAGTTCGAAACAAATGTGATAAACATCTTTTGGCTCTTACAAGCGGAGATGATAATTCTTATTCAGAAAGTCATTTTTGTGACATCTGTGAGGGAGCCCGAAACCCGAGTAATTGGTTCCTTTCCTGCACAATTTGTGACAATTGTACTCACGACTCTTGTATTCTTGGAAGAGGGGCATATTCGCTTATCAAATCTGGGAAAATCTACAAAGAAGGGAAGCATCCGCACCCTCTCAGGTTTGTGAAGAAGTATTATTATCCCGATTGATTTGAATGTGGTGTTCCTTGTCAAGGTTTGGCTCTGGAGTGTATGGAGGCAGGATACAAATCTATTGTCCACTGAGAAAATCTAATTATGTTAAATCATCAAGAATAAAATACTAAATAGGAGCGTCAATCAGCTGACTGAAGTTGGTCACCGCTCCAGGTGCGGCGATGTGATGTGTGGTCCAAGTTTTAGCTGTGCAGAGTGTGAGTTTTACCTGCATAAAGAATGTGCCGAGGCACCCTCGCAGATTAATCATCCTTTTCACCGTCATCACCCTCTCTGTCTTTTGCCAACTCCAGCATACGAGGGGGGAAGCTTTTTTTTTGCAATTTTTGCGATGAAACATTTGAGAAGTCCGTTTATCATTGTTCTTGCGACATAGATCTACATATCAAATGTGCTTTCTTCACATACAACTTTGCTCAAAAGAATTTTGGAGGTACTGCCTACCAAGATCCATCCATTCCCACCCAAAATAGTGACAAGGAACTTGAAAGTTCCAAGTGCTTCGCATGTTGGGGACCATTACTTGATTCTGCTTATTACTCTCTGGATCGTGGATTTAATATTCACGAGAAAAGTGTAGAACTATCTTCTGAAATCAATTACCCACGTCACGACGAACACCCTCTTATTCTACAGCTCTGTTTTGAAAAGCTCCCTTGCATCATATGCTATGACAAAGAACGCTCTGGACTTTGTTATTGTCGTTCACTTTGCAATTTAGCCTTTCACATAGCAGGTCTGTCACCGCCATCTACTGTACAAGGTAAAGGCCGTCAGCACCCATTCACCCTTGTTTTTAGATGCGATGCATGTGGTGTAGAGGGGAACTCTGTTCCTTACTTGTGCTTGAATTGCAACCTTTTTGTCCATCAGAAATGCATTTCATTGCCACCAATCATCAAATTCTCGTGGCATGAACACCCTCCTTTTCACTCCTATTCCATTAGACGAGCTGGTTCTAAGTCTAATAATTGGGACTGCGTACTTTGTCTTGGTGAGGTGAATAGAAACATGGGAGCTCATCATTTCACTCATGAACATAACATAAAACTAAGTGACAAGATTATAGAGGACGATGAATTTTGTGATGGGTGTCCATTGCCGGTCTGGAATTCATTTTACCATTGTTCAGAATGTAATTTTTTTCTTCACAAAAAATGTGTTGAGTTTCCTAAGAACAAGCACTTTTGATTCCATAGATGCGAAGAGCCATCCATCCTTATCGCAGGCTGCGTTTTCAAATGTGCCTTTTGCTTTCGCGTTCGCAATGGCTTTGCCTATAATTGCCGTGAATGTGGGAAGCATTGTTGCCTGGTATGTACAACTCCTTACACTCACACATGTGAGGGGCATGAACATCCTGTGTCTTATTTATACAACCACGAAGGGTCATGCATTGGTTGTGGTGCGGAAAGAAGGGGAAGATTTATATGTAAGATTTGCAACATTGCTTTATGTTTTAGGTGCATTAGACGACCAAGCAAAGTTCGAAACAAATGTGATAAACATCTTTTGACTCCTACATATGGAGATGATAATGCTTATTCAGAGAGTCATTTTTGTGACATTTCTGAAGAAGCTCGAAACCCAAGTAATTGGTTCTATTCCTGTGCAATATGTGACTTTTGCTCCAAACACCGACATAAGGTGCTCTATTTTCCTTCTCATGCTCCCATTAGTAAGCCCATCGAGTTTTTAGAGACAACCCCTAACCATCCGTTCTGTTGTGATAGCGAGAAACTTGCATCTGTGTTAATTTTAATGATATCAAGCGGTCAGGGAGACCATCGAACCGAGATGGTGCAAGAAGGGCCACGAATACAAGCATTCGCCAGAGCATAATCGTGACATTGAGCCCGGATAGGTGCAAATAACTCCTCAGGTTTGGTCATTTTCCCCTCATGGCAGTATTTATTTCTAGCATACCAAATACTCCAAATTCCCACGACTATTTATGTTCTTCGCTCGATGTTATACTGCATAATCAACCAACTAAACCAATCATTAAAGTCATAACCAGAAAATTTTAAGGGCTACTGTATGTGAAGTAAATTCCAAATAGAAGCAGCGAAATGACAATCACGAATGGTGCGAGCATTCGTCTCCACGTAAATATTACAAAGCGGACATAACGAGTCATTGATCAGCCTTCTATTGAATAAATTGTATTTCGTGGGGACGAATTTTTGTAGAAATCTCCACACTTGCAATCTGATTTTTCTTCGACACGCGTAATCCGACAACCGAGAATTCATGTCCCTAGTAACAGCATAAACATTATTCGACGAAAGTTACAATTTATTACGGCTTATAACGTTGTAAACACCACTACCATCTTTGCACCAAACCCGACGATCTAAATTACAGAAAACTGTAAGCGGTATACTAAGAATACTATGCGCCTCTTCCTCATTAAATAAAGTAGAAATATGTGCTACATCCCATTCATGATTAGGATAATTAATTAGGTCCGAAACCCACTCGACATTCGCTGCCCGAGAGGCAATCAGTCTCAGTTCAGAGCCCGGTAACCAGTAGTCATTCCATATAGAAATGGAGGTACATGTTCCCACTCGCCTTTTAAGTCCCAACTCCAACAACCCTCGGACACTCCAGATACTGCGCCAGATGTATGACGACTGAGAACCAAGACGAGCGGATAGAAAATCACTGTGAGGAAAATATTTCGCCTTAAGTAGACGACTAACCAACGAGCTAGGATTCTGAATTAACCGCCAACCTTGTTTTTGCAAGTAGAGCGACATTGAACTTTGTCATATCCCGAAACCCCAAGCCCCCAAGAGTCTTCGGTTAACAAAGTCGATGCGACACACACCAGTGAATACCCTCTCTCGTCTCCGATTTCTGCCACCAGAATTTCACCATAATACTCTCCATATCTTTGCACACACCTTTCGGAAAGAGGAAACAATTCATAGCATAAAGGGGAAGGGCTTGCAGGATGGACTTAATAAACACTTCCTTAACGCCTTGGGACAAGCATCTAGTACTCCAGCTGTGAGAGCAAGAACAAAAACGGTCCTTCAAATAAGTAAATGCCACCCTCTTATTCCGGCCTACAATCGTCGGAAGACTCAAATACTTCTCTGGGTTAGAGGAATTAGATACCTGAAGGATACGACGCACATCATTTCGATTGCCAGTATGCACGTTAGAACTGAAAAATAACCCAGACTTGTCGAAATTTATCAGTTGTCCCGAACACTCCCCATAATGCCCAAGTATGTCCTTGCATTTGCTTCACCAAAAATAAGGCTATCATCTGCAAACAGCAAATGAGTTATCGATGGAGCATACTGATTCAACTTTATTCCTCAAAAGTCGTCCCTACTAGCAGCTTTGCGCAACAAGGAAGATAAGCCTTCACTACAAATTAGGAACAAATAGGGACTTAGAGGATCACCCTGACGTAATCCTTTCGAAGGGACAAAGCCCTCACCCACTGAGCCATTGATCACAACCGCATAAGATATCGAAGTCACACATCTTTGAACCATATCAATCCAACTCATCGAGAAGCCTATTTTCAACATAATCGTCCAAATGAAACTCCACTCCACTCTATCATAGGCCTTACTCATATCAAGTTTAAGTGCAAAGTAGTATTTCCTACTTTCCCGCTTTCTAACGAAAGAGTGCAAAACTTCATAGGACATAATGATGTTGTCCGTAATCAGACGACCTGAAACAAAAGCGCTCTGAGACTCATCGATGCAAACATCCAGAAAGCTCTGCATTCGATTCACCAGCATTTTTGAAACAATCTTGAAAAGCACGTTGCACAAAATGATAGGGCGAAACTAGGACAACCTAGACATATTGAATACTTTCGGAATCAAGACAATATGAGTTCGATTCACCAAATTCATGTCATGCTAAACATTAAGTAGACCTCTACAGAAATCTACAACCTCTGCACCAACAATGTGCCAAAAGCGTTGGTAGAACAGTGCACCCAAACCATCCCCACATGAGCCTTTCAACGGGCTCATGGATTTTACTGCAGTATAAACATCCTCCTTTGAAAATGGTCTACCCATATCTGTGTTCATCTCCTACGAAATACTTTGATGAATGCCATCCAAAATCTCCTCATCAATATCAGTAGCGGATGAAGAAAATAAATACATAAAATAAGAACGAGCATGTGAGTCCATCTCAACATTCCCCTCAAAACGGTCGCCCACTTCGATCTCCAAGTAATCAATGTGAAATTGCCTTTTCCTACTCGAAGCATGTCTATGAAAAAGGGCAGTGTTCTTGTCCCCATTACGCATCCAGTTAGCTCTAGCACGTTGCTCCCAATAAAGTTTCGATTTATCCATATCCAGATTCAATTGTAATTTCATATCGATCATCTCTCTCAAAACATCATCAGTGGGATCTAAATCAACTAACTCCCCCAACCTCCTGCTAAGATCATGAGAAGTAACCCCCTCTCTCTACAAATACATCAAAACCACGCATCTAGTCCCCGACTAACATGCTAAAGCTTTGTAGTTAGCATCCCCTCAGTCTTATTCCACAGCTTAACAACTTCCACCTCACAGGAATCTCCAATAGCCAAGATGACCCAAAACGAAAATGTCATTGTTTACCTGTATCGTTGAAAGAGTTTGTATTCAACAATAGCGGGCAGTGATCAAACTTCGAATGAATAAGATGAGACAATTTAAAATTCAGAAACAATACCTCCCAGATATCAGCCACCACTCCTCTATCAAGGCGCTCTCGAATGTTTGTTGCAACCGTTCTAGCTCTCTCCCAAGTAAACCAATATCCAACAAAGCCAATATCCGTTAAATTGTAATCCTCTAAAGCAAAACAAAACTCTTGCATCTGGTGATCACCGCGAACTAAACCACCCTTTTTCTAATGAGCATAGAGAATCTCATTGAAATCGCCAATGACAAGCCAAGGAAGATCAGGACAATCATCCAGACTACGAAGAAGATCCCAGGATTCCCTTCTATACGACTCCTCAGGCGAACCATAGAAACTTGTGCACCTCCAACTATTACCCTCCGAATCATCAGAAAAAACCACATCAATGTGAAAGTCCGAAAAAGACCTCAAGAACACTACACATGAATTACACCAGGACTTTCTCCATACGTAAGTGCTATAAATTTGTCTCCATTAGAAAAATTACAGTCGGGTTGACATCCCGCAGCAAATTGCGGAGACGACTAACCGCCCGAGGTCTCCCCAAACCCCGGACGTTCCAGCTCATGAGCTTCATTATGATCGGCTGGCTTGGATATGTAGGTCTGTCGATAAATTCAAATTTCTAGCAACGTTTTCTACTAGAGCAATCGAAGCAGTTGGACTACTCCGTTGTCTCTTTGCATTGTCAGACTGCTCCAAAGGTTTTTCTTCTTCCACTCCTACCATTATCACATCCATCCCTCCCCCATAGCTATTGTTCGAACTATCCACAGAAAAAGCCTTCTGTACCCACTTTTTAGTCGAGGCTCCCCCGACTTAGTCAAGTCTTCCATTGCCGTGGCACTCACATTAACAGCATCTGATTTAACCAAACTCCCCTCCCACTTCATCCCTCAACCACGGAATAGTTCCGACACCCCTAGTTCTTGCTGGTGCCCGTAAGGAAACATCCCACTGTGGGACCAAAACCGCCTTCTCCTGTAACACCCTCCAAGGGCAAAAAATTTCCCCATGGCCTAACAGCCCACACAAGAAACAGAAAAGCCTCAGCTTTTCATACTGGAACGTAACATTGGTGGATGACCCACTCGGCAACGCAAGTTTTTTCCTCCGTTTTAGAGACTTCCGAACATCCAGAGCTACTCGAATCCGCAAGCATCCTCTATATCCAAGCGTAACTACACAAGAGTAACTACACTTGCATCATACTCTAGGAATCGCCCCAAAAAATCACCCAATTGTTTCACTACCTGTTCTGAGACAAAACCCACCGGAACATTATTAACAATAACCCAGAAGTTTGCAGTAAATAAGTTTACCAGCGTCGGATTTTCCCTGGCTGTAACCGGTGTAACACCAATAAGTGTGAATTAAAATACCAAGGGCCACCTTGTTCGATCCTGTCCACATCGATCACGTGAAAGAAACGAAATAGATATCGCCCTTCTCCTAATTCCGTTATAAAGATGCCCCCAATAAGGTGCCAGACATTCGCCAAAGTGGATAGCATTGCCTGGAAATTTATCATTGAGACTGACAGAAACCTCCCAACGAAACAGTGGTCAAAAGAGATCGATGAATTGTTTCCAGATTGGGCCAAAACTAAGACTTCATCTTCCCCTTCGCCCAGATTTAGCACACTCAAATCACGATCTAGATCCCCCATAGCCCCTCCTTCACAGGCCAAAAAACTAAGAAACCAATGAAAACGAGGAAACGCAGGAAAAGGGAAAGACGACTAGCAAAACTAGAAGACTGGCAAAACTAGAGGACGTGCCAAACATAGGCAGAAGAAAATGGCGTGCCAAAAAGGTAGAGTGCAAACCTGCGCCATTGGTTTTATTTATGTGCAACTTGTTGCGGAAAATGTATTATTATCCGAAATGCTTTGAATGTAATGTCCTTTGTCAGGATTTGTGATGTCCATTGGGAATGTATTTGCCCTTCTTATCTGATGGTTACCTTTCTGTGTCAAAATTACAAAATTGGCTGCGTACGATTACTCCTAATGTTGTGCATGTTAATTGTTTGTTTAGCTGAGAGTTAATATATCCTTCTACCCTAAAGTTGGAAGCACCTCAGCAATTTTTTGGACCTAGATCTTACCTACACTTTGTCATTTTTCTTATTTTAATCCTTGAACTTGTTTATCTTTTCGATTGCATGGCAGCCTCGCAATTAGAATTGCACAAAAAATTCGAATATCCGATTTTGTGCAAAAAATTATCCGAAACCGAATTTGGGAAAAACTGGTTTTTTTTAAACCGGATCGGATATTTTAAAACCGAATAGTATAACCGGTTTGGGAAAAAATTGGACGACCGGATTTTTTACCAGATTAAAAACCGGTTTGAAAAAAAACGGATAAAAAACTAGTTTTTTATCCAGAAAAAAAATCCGGTCTGGGGTTTAAAAAATTGGATGACCGGATTTTTTACCGGATTAAAAACAGTTTTTTTTAAAAAACCGGTTTTTTCAAACCAAAACCGGTTACACCGGTTACATCATCCGGCCCTCCAAACCGGTTATGATCCGAACCGATTTTTTTATAAACCGGTTTTCTGACTTAGTGAAAAAACCGGATCGGATTTAAATCCGGCTATGTGCATCTCTACTCGCAATATACTACATGAATTTGACAAATTTATACGGAATGCAATAAGTAAAAGTTCAATAATTTTATAAGTGGCAATACAGGGATCAATGAATGACTCTATACTGATAAATGAATACACAGCCCTTCGTTATCTCTCGGAGCCAAATGAAAAACAGTAATTTGTTTAATAATTTTGGTACCATTTCAAACCATCCAAAATCGAATCATGAATCACTGTAATTAAAACTACAAGTTCAGACACACAATACTTGGAAGAATATGTTGTCCATATGTAAATGAATACATCTCCGAAATGGACGTGACAAAGATGGATATCTCTGTGATAGATATCATTTCCAAGCGACTGCATCGATCTCATCTCTGGCTGATTTGTAAAGCTCGAGTCTTTTGGCAATTTGGGTTCTCCTCTCCATCAGTTGGGGATCCTCATCTAACATCGCACTAAGTCGTTCCTTCTGCATAACCACCACAAAGATTTAGTCGGTAATCTAAAATGCTTTTAGCAAGGCTTGTGACGCAGTAACAAGACAACAGCAACGTAACACGATCTCTTTATCCCTTTCACGACTGCTTTATCTGAGAAAAGTGCAGATCGAGTAATGTATGTATGTGCCCATTTTGTGCCTACTTTCCCATATTGGAAGAATGGTACATCTTGGGAAGGAAGACCTTTTATGTAAGTGAAATAACCAGAGCCTAGAAGGCATAAACAACTCTTCAAGGGTAACTTAAAAAAACTATTCTACCAACACGAGAAATTTCTTTACATTCATTTCTTTATAACTCGATCAAATTTCTTCAAATTTGTGCATATAGGAAATAAAATTATAATAAGGTAATTTACCTCTCTTCTCCCTATTTGGGCATAAAAGTTGGTCAGCAGTGACCTCTTGGCCTCTCTGACTTGGCAATAAACCACAGCTTTAGGAATGGTATTCTTCAATGTATCAGAAACCATGGCTATATAAGAGCTAACATTTGATCCTGAACCAACAAATACATATTTTCCGCTGCTTGTTAATAATCAATCAATATTGTATATATTCTCCTTTAAGAATAATGTTTTAACATTGTATATATTCTAAAGTTAGTTCTGCAAATAATTATGGAATTTCCATAGTTTCAAGAGTAACTTGAATGTTAAGAATAAAATAGGATTCAGAGTATTTTGAAACACTACTCTAAATTAAGTGCTAAGAGGATCTTCGAGCACAAATGTCTCATTTGGCCACATAAGTATGAACACAAGAAAGAGCTTAATTATTATGATTATTAAAATAGTCTGTCATATCATAAAGAAGACTAAATTTGAACTTGAAATTAGAATGATAAGTACAAATTCTACTAAAAAATGAGATCTTTTCAAAATAAGCAAAATATTTTCCCTCTGTCCAAAACAAGCCATTTGAGCGGTTAAAAATTAAGTGAAGCTAGTTTATCGCAACACTCCTACCAAACAAAGCAAGTGTAGTAACACAACCAGCAAAGAGAACTTCACTACCAATCCTTCTGAGAGAATGATCAGTAAAATCATTATGAGTTTTGCATTTTCTCTGATTTCTTTCGGTTTACTCTTTTCGCAAACTTCCAAAAAATCAACAGTCAAGTAAGGACTCCATCCAATCCTTCTGAGAGAATGATCATGGTAAAGATCATTATTTGGGCCAGGTGGGTTTGCATTCTTCTCTGATTTCTTCTCTGGTTTACTCTCTGGTTCTGCATGAAGCTTCCGGAAAAAATCAACAGTCAAGTAACTGGACTCCATCTCCACTAACCGTATAACTGTTTTACGACCTTCTTCACGAAATCTTTCCAACGCTTCATTTGCAGCAGTAGCTATGTCACTTTGAAGTGTTGGGAACCGTTTCAATTCCTGTGGTTGTCTCCAATTAGCATATTATCTATAGGTCCTATTATTAGTTCGAATGAACCCACAAAAGCAGCGTGTAAAAAAGTCCACGCGCACACATACACTTTTTCTTTTGTCCATTTCATATTTCTAAGAAAAATTTCAATTACAAGTGACAAAACATGAAAATGATTCATTGAAGCCATATTTCTCCCCGAAGATTCATGAAAATGAATGTTTCCAGCTAATAACTACTTACCTCAGTTTCAGCTATTGACTTCCTCACAAGTTCTTTCAAAACAAAATGTACCTGAAGATCAAAGCATACAAGATCAATGTTTCACTTCTCTGCAAAACTATTTAGAAAGGAATAAATAGAAATTGCAATAAAAAACAAGCTACTAAAAGAAACACAAGACCAAATGACCCTCGTGTGAGAGTTAGACTCGTGAGAACCAAACAGAAATCTCCCACAAATAGTATACACAAAATCTTGTCAGAATCTTCCTGTTGGTCTACACGACAAACCAGTACCATATAATGCATCTTCACAAAGTTGAAAGTCAACCAAGCAACAGCAGCTGTTAGTGTGGTTCTGTACTCGAAGTAAAAGTAACAGCATGGGTAAGAAAATTACAGCATCTACAGAGGCTTCAGCTGGCCCCTTGAAATAGGTAATAGAACCATCAATGAGCCTTCTGTAACCTTGTTCCGGAGCAATCAAATGTGGCTGATAGCCATCGGCTTCAGTGACAACTTTCTGGACATTTTTTAATGAAAGGTGACGATCAAAGGGAAGCTTCTTCAAAGCAGCTGGCAATTGGTGGTCAAAAACTCCATAAATCCGATCACCTCCGGGTCGCCTGAAGCAGCAACTTACTATTTAATTATATAAAAATTTAAAGGACAAGACTCAAATTATACTAATGGAAATGGCATAGCTGACAACATCCAAAGGGAACATACTCTACAACTATAAGAAAATAATGTCATGAGATTTATTGAACTTTCTAGGACATAGACTCATTTTTATAGCTGACTATCACTAGCACCATATACAAGCCAACCAGACAATACTGAATAGTAAGAGGTCAGAACAAGAGCTTTAAAGATTGAATAATATGATTCCTTAATTGTAAGTTTACAATCACTAGACGAATATCAATATGTCAACATACTTTAAGGAATAAGACTCATAACATAAGAAATTGAATTCAGAAAGTAGAAATACTCTAACGAGAATTGTGAAACTGACCAAAAACTTAAATCAAACTGGTATAGAAGTTTCAATTCTGAAAAAATTATGCACTTACCCTCCATCCAGGTGCTCCTTGAAAACACGATCAAATGCACGACAAAGTTCTAAAATCATGTACAACTGGGCCTGTAGATACATTTAATATTGTTCAAATGAACACTTGAAGAAGTACCCATTCACAAGTAAAGCAAACTGATTTTGAAAGGTCTAATTTTTTACCCCTCCGTCTGCTGCAATAGGCCTGCCAATGCGATCCAACTCTGCATTGAGCTCGTCAATTGTCTTATTTATCATAGCAATGATGCTTGGTATGCGCTGCCTGATTACAAGCTCTAAATGCTGAAATAGAAGAAAATTTAAAAATAGTTAAAATTATACATACATATAAGGACTCGTAGACATACAGTGAGATGCCAAAGTTTCTGTGAGTTAATAATATTAAATGAAGCAAACAAAATAGAAAGATGAAAAACACCTGAGACAAAAGTTTTGCAAGATACTCTGATCCCATCCTACTTGCCAAGTGTCCATAATCAGGGCTTGTTTCAAAATATTCACGCTCTTTTCGACGAGCAATAATCATATCAACATTCTTATTGATGTCAGCTTGAGAACGATTAACAATTCCAACCCAAGGATGCTGTAGCCTATATGCCCTTCCTTCGAGAACCTGAAAGATTTATATCGAATAACTATAATGTTTATGTATGGTTTTAACATCTAAATGGGAATTGTTCCAAACTTCCAATTGATCTGACATTATACATCATGATATATAAATGCCACATAAGAAAGGAAGAATAATAATTTCAAATGGAGCCTTTAGGCAATAAAGCTAATTTAAAATAAATCATGGACTGTGACATTGTCATGTAGGGTTTGATGATGATTTTGTATAGACTATCATCTGCATGTATAACTTCCAGCGAATATTATACAAGCATTCCATGACCAGGTAGCAATGCAGTAAGTATGATTAAATACATACTTCTGTAGCATTTGTTCCCTTATCCATCAGATCAAGTTTTGTTAGCACCCCAAAAGTTCTTTCACCTGAACACACAAAATATCATGAAAACATAAATCTCCTTGCTGCGGGAAATTTCCTATCACATAACAATGCATCAGAATAAGGTAG